CACACACACACACACACACACACACACACACACACATATACACGATGGTGGCCATCTTGGATTTTGATATGGAAACCCAATGTTAGAATGGAACTATTCTCAAGCCTAGATGTAGCAACACTCCAAATTATTTGTCAATACCTGATTATTTTATATTATCCACCTCACAAAATGGACAGGCATTTATGGTGGCAGCCATTTTGGATTTTGATGTGGCAACCCAGTTTTTGACAGGAACTAATGCAGCCACACACCATAATGGAAGTTGGTACCTCACTTGTTTTTTTAGTTATGATCAGAACATGCAGGGACATACGGACAGATGGCATTTCCAATTCCTCCTCTTCACTCTGCAATTCTGGACAAATATTAGAAAAATGAATTTTTGGGATGTTTAGATGAATGGGGAAGTAAAAACTTGCTGTCACAATTTCCACAGCATTGCTATTTCCTCCAAACTATCCTCAAACCTCAATTGCCGACGCCCTCCAAACACAACAAATATGTGAAATTGTCAGCATCATTCAAAAGATGAAAGGAAGTCAACAGAGACCTTTATGTATTTAAACTACAAAGCAGAGACCAGGTCAGTATTAGCCTCTGAAATAGTTACAGAAGTTCTGAAAGCGACAAATGAGATGCACCGTGAGCTGGTGAAAAATGCTGAATGTTGTCGCCCAATCCACCTCTGGCACATGGAACGGAAGCCCCGAGTGAAGGAGTTCAAGTATCTTTAGACCTTGCTCACAAATGAGATTACAGTGATGTGTCAAACTGACTAATGGAAAGTACTGAAATGCCAAGCAGAAAATAGAGGAGAGCCTGAAGGTGAATTTTGTGATTTATGGAAACAAAAAGTTGAAATGAGCCACTGGCTGGGATCATAGAAGTCAGATATTTGGGATGAACTTTGAGTAGACCTGCTGCAGCATCACTCCCACTGATAAAGAGCTAGTCGAGGCAACATACACATCTAATTAGGAAGCCTCCAGGGTGACTCCCCGCAGAGTTACATCAGGCACATCTGACTTGGAGGAGACTGGGGTAAATCTATAACTAAATATTCGATTTGGCCTGGATGAACTTCAGCACTGCACAAGTAGAGCTGCAGACAAGCTATGTTAAAAAGATCATTGTGGACAGTAATAATGAACTGGAGTGGCCCCAAAAATACAATTTTCACTTGATTATTATGCTGTTCATACTGTTTTATAAAATGATTCTCTTGAGAAATTTATTTGCTTTAGATTGCCACAAAAACCTACATTATTGTTAAACATTTACCTGCTCCAGGATGAAAATTGCTGGACAGGTAGATTGCTCTGGGGTAGTAAGAGGCCTCGCCATTAGCAGTAAAGCCATTTGTGAGACGCACATTAGTTGCAGACTCCAAAACAGAGAATCGTCTCTACTAATGAGAGGAAGGGAGGATCTTTAAACCTTTGTAAGTCAGGGTGAACCTGAAAGCTTCTTTTCTCTGAGCAGAAACATAAATTTAAAAGAAAGTACTTCTCCATTTTATATCGGTGCTGTGCAGGGAAATGCATTTTATTACCGGCATTTTCAGAGAGATTCATGCCTGTTCAGCAAAAATGATGTACACTAAATGCTTCTCTTGTATGTAGGTGTACCTTTAATATCTTAGATGCAAAAAAAAAAGAGCTTATGTCAGTTTCATTTCAGAGTAATCAGCAAAATGGGAGGCGGCAGTCAGGCAAGAAAATGAAATGTTGCCATCAGGGGACAGATTATTTATGCACCCTTTCATTTAAAACAGGACTACCAGTAGCTCGCTCCTGCTACAATATGAATGGCAACCCCAGACGCTTGAAGGCATTTCCTTTTCTGTATCACCCACGAGGACAGCTCCATGACTGCCTCAGGCTTTTCACTCAGCAGAGAGACAAGAGGAGAGGCAGCTGCTGGAGCGACAGAAGGCAGGTAGCATTGTTTACTGCTGTACGAGCCTGTTATCTGCCCCGCTTTCTGCAGACTAACAAACACCTCGAGTGACTCAAACTTGATGTTTTCATGCCGATACACGTTTCTGTCATTTTAGATGATACTGAGGAATCAATCTACTGTTTAAAATCTAACAGTGATTGTGAGATGATGGAGAGAGACAAGAAATAGCATGCTATTTATAAAGTATTACATTTGATTTTACCTTGGGGTGAGTCTGAGAAAAGCAAAGCCTCCAATGTCCACTCAGGTCAAAATATTTGAATAGCATGTTGGCTCATCTAACACGGGTCTCCCACCCCAAGCTGTGAGCGCAACGTGTTCAAATGGCTTTTAACCTCAGCACTTTGTCAGCTGTTAAATCCCTTCTGTGCAGCTCAAGTCTGCTTTACAACCAGAGGAAATACTTAGTGCAGACTGAAAATGAACTTTACTTTCCAATTCTTAATAAATCTGAGGGCTTCCATTCTCAAGGTGTTCTTTATTTTACAAGCAAGCATGACGCAAAATGTTATGTTTGTTGTATTTAGCCATGATTCATGTTTAACAATGATTTACAACATGTTTTTTTTTTTGCGCAAAAATCACAGATGAAAAACTGCGAAGTAGGAATAGTAGTACAGGTACTAAGTAGTACTTTATTTTAGTACATACATTTTATATATATATATATATATATATATATATATACATATATACATATATACATATATTTGATTTCAGTTCTCTGCCCCCGGCTACACTCTCGGCCACGCCCACTTCTCCGCTCTGCACGGAAATCAGCTGATCAGCTCAGGAGGAAGCTTCTCCCACAGCTGTGAGCTGCACACAGTTGCATCAGGTGCTAAATAATTTTAAATAATTTATTTTAAATAAAAAAAATCTGTGATGGACTTGTGACCTGTCCAGGGTGTACCCCGCCCCTCGCACAGTGACTGCTGGACATGGGCACCGGTGATCCCGTGACCCAAAATGGAAGAAGTGGGTAAAAGATAATGGATGGATGGATAAAAAAATCCATGCCGATCGTGCGGCTCATCCATCAATCAGCCAATTGTGTCATGTCCAATTTTACTTTGAAAAACCTCATAGAGCGAGTCCGGGAAAAACAAACCATGAAGTAGCGAGGGACTACTGCATTACCTGCACATATATTACCAGAATTTGATTTGTACATGTCCAAATTTCTGTGTTGGGATCATAAACCAAATACTGCTGTTACACAAGAGATTTAATGCAGTTTGTGCAGACCTCTGTGTTTGGTGAACTTTCTTTTAGTAACTAACTTTTAGACTGAGAAAGTCTCTCGGATGAGAGACGAAACGTTTCTACATTTTTTTGTTGTTTTGCTTTGTTTTGTTTTCTTTGAATGTCCAGAGGACCAGATTTAACTTTTTTAGATTGATGGGTAATGAGAGCAATTTTGTACTGAATTCTGTAGGTGACAGGAAGCCAATGGAGGTTATGGAGAATGGGTGTAATATGTTCAAATTTACGAGCCCTCAATAAAATCCTGGCTGCACTGTTTTGAATATATCGAAGCTTCTGAAGGTTTTTGCCGGGTATTCCAGTAAACAGGGAGTTGCAGTAGTCGAGCCTGGAGGGGACAAAAGCATGAACGAGTTTCTCTGCATCAGAAAAAGTGAGAGATGGGCGAAGTTTGGAGATATTTTGAAAATGGAAGAAACAGGTTTTAAACAGATGCTTAATGTGATTTTCAAATGTAAGATGAGAGTCCATTCTTACTCCAAGATTTGTAACAGAGGTGGAGAGGGGGTTGTCTTGTCCAGAAAAGGAAATAGTCGTTATAGTTGAGGTTTGAACCTGGTGAGGGGTGCCAATCAGTATGGCCTCTGTTTTGGAGCAGTTTAACTGAAGAAAGTTCTGATTCATCCATGCCCTTATCTCCTCCAGGCAGGTAGAGAGGACAGTGAGTGAAGATGGAGATGACAATGGTGATGATGATGCTCCAGTCCTCATGTAAAGCTGTGTATCGTCGGCATAACAGTGAAAAGAAATGTTGTACTAATTAATAATTTGACCTAAAGGCAGCATGTAAAGGGAAAATAACAGAGGCCCTAGAACTGACCATTGAGGGACAACACAGGAGACAGATGTGAGCAAACATCAGGAAGGAAGCTACAACAACTTTCACTGCAGATCAGACAACATCTGAACTGGAGATTTTGTGAACGTGAACAAACTGAGGGAGGAAATCAAGTCCCATTTTGCCAGTGTTGACATAAACCTCTTAAAGAAACTATGAGTGATGGACTTCAGCATTTCAAGCCTTGAGGACTGTGAAGATACTGTATCAGTGTAAAAACATCCAAAACTAAAGTTTTTTATTATTATTTTTTTTACTTCTTGCACATTATTTATTTATTTATTTATTTGTAATATAGGTAAGTGTAAGAAACAAAGCAAATTGTTTAATCGAAAAGAAAATACTAGGAGTCCATAATGTACACTAAAAAAACTTGTTTTTTTCCTTGATACAAGCGGGGCATGAAAGGTTGCGGAACAAGCTATGTAGAAAATTGGCTTGGTTTATTAAACCCCCAAATTGCTTGTATGTGAGAAAGGCCATCCACTGACAGCAAAGCCTTTCATTAAAAAACAACTGTGTTTAATTTGTGCCACAATATGATGATTAATTATTCATTTAATACCGAGGGAGAAAAGAGAACTTACCAAACAGTGATGTAGTCGTAGATTGGTTCCGTATTAATAACAGAGAAGTTTATGTAGATGCCATAACCTGGAGGTACTCTGACGGTCCACATGCAATCCTGGAAGTGTGGATACTCGGCAGGGTGTCCGGGAGAGTAAATCGTTCCGTTCATGGATGTTATATTTCCACCGCAGAGCGCTGAAGGTAAAGAACGCAGTCGAAGATGATAGATAAAAATGGATGGCTATAGTTTCCTCCAGTCATAAAAAAACACTTTTATGGCTGCATTGCCTCTAACTGTGGATAAAACAAACCATAACAGCATGCTACTGGTTTATCGCAGAGCTGCTGGAGGGAGAAAGCAGCTGTTAGATACTACAGCACTCGATGATCGCAGGTCGCTGAGAACTTCATGACAACAAAAGATTTTAGAAATAAAACTATAGTCATATATTTTCACTTTATTAATGTGCAACTTTGATTGCAGTCAAAGCACAACACGTAGGATCAAAAATGCCTCTCCAGATACAATATAATGTGTAAAAAGCAAAGCAAACTACTTAACAGAAAACAAAATACCAAGAATCTATGATGTGCAGCATTTTTTTTTTATTTCTACCTCTTTCAGCTGACAAGTGATGGCTTAGCATACTCTGAGTGACTTCTTTGAAGACTTGCTAGACTTCCAACATACTCCTTTATTTTTGTTTCAAAGCCTCCTTCTATCATTATAATGAACTGCATCACTTTGAGTCATGCTTTTATGTCTCTAAATGATGGCTTGGACTACATGCAGAATTTAGAAACTACAGTATGTTCTTCTCTACAGCAAATATTTAAGGATTTTTTTTTACGTGGATGACTGGATAAACCTCTCTGCTTTAACTTTAGTCACAGTCTGAGTAAACTGCAGGACATTTTCATGCATTTAAAAATATTTACCTACCTAGCTTGGAGAAAAACACTCACTTTAAAAGTTACTAAAAGACTAACAATTTATTAATAGTGTAAAATGAGATTATTTAGAGTTCTGGCAGTGTAACAGATAAAAGGAGCCCTGTCAACGTGTTTCAATTAATTCTGCTAATGTGAAAACAGGAAGACATACATTGTGTTTGCAAGACATTGTATATTCACCTTCACAGCGAGGTATTGGGTGGTTCCAGTTCCTGCTGACTCCATGTAAACATGTGAGAGATGGCTCTCCCAGAAGAGTGTAACCTGGCAGGCACTCGAATGAAATGGTCATCCCCACGCTGTAGTCCTGACCAATCACGATGCCGTTACGAAATGGACGTGGGTCAGGACACCTCTGCAGCTCATATGCTGTGGGGAAAAAGTCACACCCATACACAGGAAATCCAATAAAGAAATTCTAAGAACATTAGTTATAAATCTTAATCTAATGTCACTGACAAATAGTTAGCACTCAGAAAGACTAGTGCAATTTGGGCATACTTTGGTTCACAAGCTGACCAGTGAACGGTGTGCAAATGGTAAATGGTAAATGGACTGTCCTTATGTATTGCCTTTCTATCTTATCAAGATACTCAAAGCTCTTTACACTACAATCTGTGTCCTCATTTATCCATTCATATAGCACTCTCCTATAGCTATACAAAGACTAATCAGTGCTTTAGATCACATTCTTACACCAATGGGATACATCGGAGGCAATGATGTGTTCATCGTCTTGCCCAGGGATACTTCAGCATGTGACTGATGGTGGAATCGAACACCCAACTCGCCCACTGGAGGACGACTGCTCTAACCACTCCACTGCAGCTGCCCCCAGCCAAATGAGTTGGCTTGCAAGGAGCAGAGGATGCAAGTGAAGGCATCATGAGAGGAGCAATAGTACAGTTGCAGAGTGTCCATCAGAGTCTAAACAAAGAGCCCAGTGGTTAATAATGGAACCAACAGGTACTAAAGGCATCCAAGCACATTGTGAAGATTCCAGTCATCCAAGACAGACCGAACCAAGAGAGAGTTGTATTGTGCACCAAGTATTACAAAACTCTATAATTTTGACTCCAACGTCCAGACACAGGTTTAACACTCTTTATAACCTCCATGTCCTCCCTGAACCACATCTCGACGACTGGTATCAGACACATTACAAGTTCACTGTCCCATACATACTGCAGACTGCTATCACCACAGCAGAGCCAGCTGCATTTTGAGTGGTGCTGTAACTGGAGCAAGTTTGTGGAGAGACACAACACTCCTGGCACCATGTTGTGAGGAGCCATAAGTTCTGGTCACCTCTGAGAGTTAATTGTGGGACACAAATGGCAGAGCACTACATCAGTCACATCCTGTGTCGCCATGTCTTACCTCTCGTAAGACAACACTTTGCTATAGACTTTCAGCAAGACAACACCCGTTCACAGGCGGCATGTTTATTTATTGCCTGTGGCTAGCAAGAATTCCCAATCTTTCCTCAACGGGTGGGATCAGCTTGGTTGTCAACTCTCTGCTGATCTGCCGGATCTTGAGAGTTACATCAGCTGTACTAAAGAGGTGTCACAATGTACCATCAGGACCATCAGGCTGCCTTTAACACCAACACCATTAAAAACATTTTATTTGATTTTCTAAAATTATCCCAACAGTCTCACATTGCATTTTCTGCATGTACTGTTTCATTTAAAGTCCATAACTTCATCTGAGCAAGGTAATTTTTTTTGTCAGTGAGTTTAATTAATGGCCTCAAATACAAATCACTGGCTTAAAAGTTGATACGTTTACTCTTAATGAACTTTGAAAATAAAAAGTGAAGCACTATCCGCCTACTAGTAATGCTCCCTTTCCTCATTTTCTTTAATCTTGAAAAAAATCCTTAGACAAAATTAATATTCAAGGTTATTTGCCGAGAATGTCTCCAAGACATTAGCATGTATTCATTTTTCAATACTCTTTCACCTTTTGCAATTAGCCTCTGCAAAAGTGTCTGCTTTGCAGTTTTGTCTATAATTTTATTTTGAGAATCTTGTATCTAAACTTTTTTCTTCTTTTGTTCCACTTCAGCTGCTGCTGCTATAAAAACAATTTAATCCAAACCAGTCTTTGCTGCTCACCCTGGTAGACAATGTGGAAACCAGGCTTGTTCTGGGAATAGTCACTGTGGAAGAAGAGAGTGGTCTCGTGGGTGGTGCTGAAGAGAGAATTGGGTACCAAAGGGCCGCTGAACCGATCAATCACTGTTCCTGTCTCCAGGGTCCCACTGCGCACCTCCAAATAGTCATGAACGGGCTCTGTGGAGAAGTTCAGAAACTGCAGATGGATCCCTAAAGTGCAAAAAAAAAAAAAAAAAAGAGTTAATATTAAAATGAGTTAATATCAAAGTGTTCCTTTACAACACTGCACTATGTAGGTCGATATTTGTATAAACCTACAAAGCTATTTTTGGCTGGACTGTAAACACAAATGTCAGTGACCAAATGATGAAGTCACCACTGGTCAGCCAACCAAGAGCAAATGCTTTCCCAATGGCAGCTGAACTTTGAAAAATATATTCTTGTCTGAGTTTGCATAAGTGATGAGGGCAGACTTAAACAAACACAGAGGTCAAAATTTCAAACAGACATTCATCAAATATTCATTTCCTGTTCTGATCCTCCCATTTCCTGGGGACTGTCAGCACAGTCAAAGGATATAGTTCTCCCTTTAGATGCAATCTGTCCTGGCATCCATTTTTTATGATATACCATGCAGGTAACAGTTTAATTAAAAAGAAGACAGAAATCAGAGTTTAGGAAAAATAAAGGTAAAGGTAAAGGTAAAGAAAAAAGTAACAAAAATAAAGTCAAGACTTCTCAAACAACTTTACCATGTCCTCTTTTCATAATGTTTATTTTTGAATTAAACCCTAAATTTTAATGAGTTGTGGCAGTTTTGAATACATAGTTTAACTAATGGGTCAAAAAAAAACAAAATTAAATTGTGTTTTTTGTATTGATTTTGTCAATTGAGTTTGTCTAGTTTATCTGTATTATTACTAGAAGAGACTTAGTACTTTTCAGACCAAGTACAATACAAGTACTTCAGTTTGGGCACTTGCTGATACTGAGTACCGATACCAAATACTACATATACATTACACAGTGACTTTAGAAAGACATTCCTTTTATTGACACAGCAGTTTGCTGTCTTAACATCTGTGTTCATCTTAAAATGTCTCTAAACTCTTGACAGTTTTTATGTTTTTGTTCTTGTTTACTTGCAAAGTGGAAGAGGAAAGGCCATCACCAACCATGAAAGTAGTATTACTCCTAAGTATTGGTGTGTTTTCATTAACACAAGTTCAAGCACTTGAGACCACTAATTATAACTCATCATGCAATTTTTTATTTTCAAGTACTTTTAGCAACAACAAAGTCCATAAATAAGAATTTTCAAACATAAAAACCATGATGTGAATGACTATCTAGTCTAAATGTTATTACAGAAATAAAACTCCTAAAGCTTGACACCGAAAGGTGTTTTTGCCTTTATATTACTTTGTTAAAATCAAAATGGTGATTTTGTTAAGAATATAGTGCAGGTAGTTCTTTGCATGACAAAATCATTTTAAAATGCCTTTTTTTTTAATTTGCCACACAAACATTTCTGATTTAAAATAACTACTTCAATCAAAATAATTAAACTTTAAACATTTCAGCTCATGGAGTCAGTGGTATCGTAGCAAATGAACAACCATAAAATAAGGCTTTTCTGCCAAAAACTGAATCATTGCTTTACAATTAAATGAAATAATTTGCTCTAAAGTGACTATTTCATTCAAAAGGATTATATTTTAAAGATTTGACTAAGCCCCTCCATTTGCAACTGGGTACTAGACTTCTTAATAAACAGACCACAGCCAGTGAGGATCCACAATTTCTCCTCCTCCACCATAACCCTTAGCACTGGCTCTCCTCAGGGGTGTGTGTTGAGCCCTCTTCTGTTTATTCTGCTCACGTATAATTGTGCAGCTACCCATCCAGGCTGTCACATTGTAACGTTTGCAGAAGATACAGCGGTGGTGGGATGCATCACAAACAATGATGAGTCCAGCTACAAGCAGGAGGTGGAACACCTGGAGAGCTGGTGCAGAGAGAATAACCTTCACATAAATGTGAAGAAGACAAAGGAGATGATTGTGGACTTCAGAAGGAACAAACACACCTACACATCCCTGAACATAAGAGAATCTGGTGGAAGTGGTCTCCAGCTACAAGTACTTGGGTGTACACATAAATGACAACCTCAGCTGGAGCAACAACACCACCAGCCTGATCAAGAAAGCTCATCAGAGACTCTACTTCCTCAGGCAGCTGAGAAGAGCTGGTCTGGGAAGCTCAGTCCTCACCTCCTTCTACAGGTGTGCAGTGGAGAGCATCCTGTGCTCCAGCATCAATGTGTGGCATGGAGGCTGCACAGCTGCAGAAAGAAAAGCTTTGCAGAGAGTGGTGAAGGCTGCACAGAAGTATGTTGGAGTCAGTCTCTCCACCATCACAGACATCTACACCTCCAGATGCAGGAAGAGGGCCACCTGCATCATGAAGGACCCCACTCATCCAGCACACACACTTTTTGCCCCACTCCCCTCAGGAAGGAGGTTGAGGAGCATTAAGTGTAGAACCACTAGACTGAGGAACAGCTTCTACCCTGAGGCTGTTAGACTCATGAATTTCTAACCAGAATAATCACTGTGAAAAAATTGCATTGTGTTGCTGCTGATCTGTTTAATGTTGATGTGTTCATTCGTGCTCATCTGCTCACACAGACTCATGCTCATGGTCGTGCTGCTGTTCATCATAATGCTTTTATGTTATTAGTGCTTAGTGCATTTTTAGTTGATGTTTTTCTTAGTTCATATCTTAGATGTTATCATAGTTTTTCTTTTACATTTTTTTTGTTGGATGTAACTGGGACCCTGTGTACATAATTTCATTCCACCACATGTACCACATGTGGTGCGAACGACAATAAAGAATCTCTGACTCTCTGTCTCTCTCTGACTCTGATTTGAGTTCCTGTTGTTGTTTAATAGAATGCATTTTTCATCTTTGATCATTAATTGAGTTACATGAAGAAGAAAAGCAAGTCAGAACAAAGACAATCAGGACAGAAGGTGCTAAGAACTACAGCAAAAAAGAAAAGGAGGAGGAGAACAGAAGGGGTGGGTTACACACCAAAGCCAACAGGGAGTTGAACTCTCCAGGTGCAGTCCAGGCTGCTCCGGTAATTCCCTGGAAAGCCAGGGCTGAGGATGATACCACTGAAGTCTGTCATAGAACCTCCACACTGAGCTGAGGGAGACCAAGCGAGGAGAAAGAACATGTCACTTCTCCACAGCAATGAGAAAACAAAGCAAAACAACAACTAGGAGGCTGCATATGGATGGAGGGCATAGAGCATGTTGTCTATATGTGTGCATGTTCTAGTACAAACAAAACAGCTAAGTGTGTGCAATGATGAGGAAGTAGCTGCTTATGCATGTGGTTTCAAAACGTGCAAGCATTTCATACTCTAGTGCTCATATTTAGTTTGAGCTTGTTTTGTTATTTAATCATGTCTTGACTTGTGCTTGTACATGTCGTCTCCACTGAGTGGATGATGCTCCATAAAGGCGTTCATGCAAACATAGCAGACTTTAGAGCATGTACTTTGTTCAATGTAGCCTTAAATCTCAATAAATGAGTCAATATTCAACGCACTCTTTTGCTCAGCAGTGGAAGTGATTGCTTCACCCTCTCGTCTGCCTCTTTTATTTGACTGCATTCAAAAAACACTTCAGCTTGCTGTGAAGGTTACACTCATCTCCTGCTCCTGTGACACGCATCTCGTCTTACAAGAACAGCCAGGTCTCTAGATTATTCTCCTGTATTGTTGATGTTTCTTAGGGGAGCATGAACCAAGACCAGATTGAGGAAAAACTAATAGGATAAAAAAAAGGCATTTTGCTCATGGTGGCATCCTGCTTGACCTACTTGTTTTGGGAAATAAAAGGAAAAAAAGGTGGAGAGGCACTTTCAAGGATGCGTTTGTTCAGGGGCACGCAACCACTTTGATGTGGGTCCATAGGCAACAAAGTGAATAAAAATACTGCGATGTTAAAGTGAGTTTACGTGCACTAAAAAAGAAAAGATTTAAACTAACTAGAGGTCCTGTAAACTTAAGAACACATATGTAACCATTAAAGCTGGGATTTATGACCATGATTAACTTTGAGACCATGCACAGTGGAAATAAAATGTGCCCCATCACTGAGGAATTTGATTAATAAATTTTTGTAGTTTTCAAAATGAGTGCTTTTCTGGACTGGAATTGAACAGGGAATATAAATAACCCTTAATGATTTTAGGTGTAAGGAATTTCAGAGGGTAGGAGATACACTGAGAATAAGAAAAGAGGTAGTTTCCTTTTTTTTTCTTTTCTTTTTTTTTGTCGAGGTGGCACAAAGTAATGGATCCTTGTGAGTAGAGAGTAGAGCTGTCATTTCTAACCCGAACCCGGAGCCCGGCCCAGCCCGATCTGGATTAGGGCCAGGCCAGGCCATAATAATGTGCTTAATATGTAGGTTGGACCAGTGTCGGGCTTTTGATCATGCTCGGCTGAGGATCCAATTATATGGCAACATGGCTTACCATACATTCACCAACCGCACGTGGCCATGTGACCGTGCGCTGTCCGGCCATGAAAGAGATTTAAAAAAAGTTCAGTTAAGCTTCAGATGGACTGCTGCCAGGCAGCAATCCATCCAAGCCCAAATGGGCGTTCGTTCAGCCACTGCACTCAGCGGACACGCGCGGCCGACGAACCAAACAGGTGAGATCTCAAATTATCTGATATGTCGGAGCAGGGTCCATGTCTGAATAATGCAGAATGCAGGCAGAAGCAGGAATTTAATGTGCTTTGACAGCCATGAAAGGACAAACACCCCCTCATCTCCGATCTTCTGCCCCCTTGGCCGCGTGCGTCTCCCGACCACTAATAACTATATAAGCAGTCAAAACCTAATTAAAAATGCCCCCGGGGGGGGGGGGGATTCAAGCCTGTAATTAATGTTAATTCGTAGGGTTGGGTGGGGTTCAGAAATTATGGCTATTTGTTGGGGTCAGGTCAGACTTTTTGGGCCCATATACAACTCTAGTAGAGAGAGCAATTTTATCCCCAACCAGGTGCAGTGGCAGAGCCAGGGGGCAGCCCGTGTTGGCCTTGGCCATCATAGATTGTGCTTTGGCCTACCCAAAAGCCACCTCAACCATTTGGCCAGCTTGGATTTTGACGTGGCAACCCAGTTTTTGATTGCAAACTTTTTCCGATTAGATTTAGCCACACAGCAAAATGGAAGTTGAGATATTTTCTACTTTTTTAAGTTTTCCAGCTCACAAGGTTTACTTCTATAAATATATGGTGGTAGCCATCTTGAATTTTGACAAGTAAACCTAATTTTCAAAAGGAAACTTTTTTACACCTAGATGTAGCCACACATCAAAAGAAAGAAGTTGATACCTCCATCCATCCATTATCTTTTACCCGCTTCTTCCATTTTGGGTCACGGGGGTCGCCGGTGCCCATGTCCAGCGATCACTGTGTGAGGGGCGGGGTACACCCTGGACGGGTCGCAAGTCCAGTTGATACCTCATTTATTTTAAAAGTTATCACGCTCACAACATGCACGGATGAAAGATGTCAGACGGACAGACGAATGGACAGGGTATTTCCAATTCCTCCTCTAAGCTCCGCAACGGGGGACAAAAATACAGCGTACAGCCACTGGAAGAACACTGGCACTACAGTGAGAGTGTTTGATTATATTTGAGGGGTAGAAAACCAGGACATGTTAGTATAGAAAGTACAGAGCTTCCTAAGTAATCCTTAGACTGGATCACTGTGGCAATCAAACATCAAAGGAAGACTCAGGGAGACTGCAGCCTCGAATCAGAGTTATCAAGAATCAAACAACAAATTGAGATGATGAGAACTCCTCTATTGATTTGCAACAGACCTGGAAGCAGAAAATTCATAATACCTTTCCCAAAGCCCTCCAACAAACAACCATCATCCCTTACCTCAATGCTACAAAGAAATTGTTGCTTTCCTTAATGCACTATAAATCCACTTTTAGAGCTTTGATCTTTTATGTGACTGTGTCTGAACAAAACTCTGGTATGACAAATGTCTAAATTAGGAGGAAGAAAAGTTACTTCAGTCAACAAGAACAGCTGAATGGCAAAAAAGAGAGAAAGAAACCAAATCTGTGTTTGCTGCTACAAATGTTTTTTTGTTGTCCACATTATCAGCTCATTGAAACTCTGTTCACTACAGAATAAGAGGAACATTACCTATACACAGAGGTACGGGGTAATTCCATCTCCTGACGGGGCCAGGCATGCAGGTAATATATGCATTGCCCTGTTCGAGAAGACAAACAAAACAATTTATCAAGCGCTTTAAAAACATATACTATAAAATCAGACCAGGAATACAACACAAGATATTTTTTGTTTCGTGGATTTATATACAAACATTTATTTTAGATTCTGTAAAGTCATTTTGTGTGTGTGTGTGTGTAAACTCAGGAGGTGAAAAGGAATATTTTGATGTTAAAAAAACTGACAAATCTATAAAAAAATGAGTTTAAATAGGAAAAAAAAACTGTGCTTTCTCATCCATATTTTAGATTTAACTGTAAATTAACAGAGTAAATGCGTTTATAAAATAAAATGTGCACTTTAAAAACTAAAGCACAGATGCCAAAATGTATAACCCATGGCCACACAACTTATCTCCTAAGACCCAACGATAATAATGCTTCTGTTTCAACAATGGCCTCAAGTCTATTCCTGGTTCAGACACTCAGCCTGAAGATGTGTGTAAGAAGTTGTTGGCTGGTCCAGAGAGGAATGTGAAAAAAGGAGAGCGCCTTTGCCAGGAAGAAAAATCAGTGTGGGATTAGTGAGGGGACTGTTAACACAATCCATTGCCGGTGGCCTTGGAAGGTTCTGCAGCTCAAAACGCTCCTGCTACAGTGTCGACTGAGGGAGGACTGAAAAAAGGAACAGCTCTTTAGTGACAGACACACAGAGCACTCTAGTCTGACACCCAGGAGGAGAGACATAATATGTGTATAAATGTAGTTATCACTGGGACAGCACAAATACCCCCAAAAAGAAAAGATGTTGATGTTGTCACATAGGTCGATTTCTTGTTGTGGCTTTTGTGAACTGTGCTGACTCTCTATGTTTATCAGTAGATGTTTATTCAATGATTACGCTGTAAGTTTCATTGAAATTCTTCCAGAAGGTCATGAAATATTTTGCTAACAGACATATAAGAGTTCACATCAAAAATCAAGCATCTTGCATGTGCAGTTAGCTCCTGGGAGTATGTGTTGGGGATGACTCTCAGCTACTACCGCACCGAGTTGTAGCTTCAAATCTGTCAAACTTACAAGAGCTACAGCCATTTTTATAATCACTGTAAACACATGGCTGTGGTGGCCATATTGGATTTGATTGACTTCAGAAGTAAATCAGAGAAAGTTGAGTTTCATTAAAATCTGATTGGTGTCTGAACTTTGACGATCAACAATCAATCGGTCATCATTTATTTATCAAGCTCTTTACAGCTAACAAACAGGGCTCAACGTGCTTCACAGCATAAAAGTTAAAACAAACAATAAGAACAATACAAAAATGTCAGAGTGCCACTAGGTGTTAAAAGTCTGCCTGAAAGAAAAGGTTTGAAGCTTAGATTTAAAAAGGTCCAGGTCAGCGCAGGTCATGAGGGCGTTGGTTCCACGGTCTGGGTGCAGCGACCGAAAAGGTCCGGCCACCCGAACATCGGTATGTGGACAATTAACTCTTTGAGATAATTAACACTGATTCAAGTGCATGTGCTGCATATTTATATTTCAACTTTATGTTGTTTTTTGTTGTTGTTGTTTGTTTTGTTTTCGAACTACATCACCTACATTTATAAATATTATTCTCACAGAGAGAAAATAAACCTTGATTCATTTGAGGGTCAAAAAAAAGAGTCAAAGATTTTATCAAAAAAATCTCATTCATCTCGTCTTTCTTCCACATTTACACTGTCAAAAAATATACTTTTCATATATTGTTGACATAATTAAGTGATCTGCATTTGTAAATAACAACATCTAAAAAGTCGGTTGTCTGGAGATCTGTTGGTCCTTTAAAGGAGACTTGCTTCAGGCAGACCATTAAAGTAAGTGGACAGTTTAGTTAGTGGAGCTAAACAGAAAAAACAATAGTGGCGAGAGCAACAAACTAAATATTTGTGACAATAAAAAAATGTTTTTCCTCGTGTGGGACAATATTTGATGACAAAGGACAAAGTGCCTTTATAAGTAATATTTTAGAATTATCATAACCTTTCTTAATATGATTTTACAACAGTAAAATGTATTAAAATCAGCACAATCTGGCCTCTCATAGCATCAGCAATTGATTTAGATTGAAATTGTTTACAATAATCAATGTTAATGAAAAAAAACACATTATTGATGAAAATATACAAGGATAATTTTCTAACATTAAGTGTGGCAAAAGGAAACATGTTTGCATCAATGCAACAAGCTGATTTTAGAAAATATTTTCAGCACATAAAAGAACATCTCATGCAGTGGTGCTAACAGAAAATTGCTTCTATTATTATTCAGTAAGTCTTATTACATTTAGTTTAATAAAAAAATACAATTTTGCTGTTTAAAATGTTAATTGAAAGTCAGTTCTTGTCTAGACAGTGCTCTGAACATCAATGCAACATCTCAACAACATTCAGGTTTTATGGTATTCCTTGAAGCGTTCCCTCCACCCTCCTACATCTGAGTCATCTATCGAGCCTATAAAAAAGCAAACGTCTGTTCTGTTTGGTTTCACTTACCTGCAAAGAAAATCCTTGATCGCACTGGAAGGAAACCATGTCACCCACGGTGTAGCGATCCCCCACTTTGTGACCGTTACTGGGTGGCACCGGCTCTGGGCACGAATCCAAACCTATTGCTTATGACAGAGTCACAACACACAAGTGTGGACAGCGATTATTCTTCTGCATAAAGTCACAACAGACAATAAAACTCAGGTTTTATTTGAGCTTCACGTTCCAGGACCCTACATATCACGGAAACATTTCCAGCACATATTTGCAGCGAAAAGAGAGAATAACGTCATCAAAATGAAATATAACTGTAATGGCCCAACAATATGTCCTTTTGAAAAACTTACCTCGCTTTGTAAGATTTAAGAAGCAGACAAACCATAAAGCTATTCTCCTTGTAGATGTAATCACAAAGTCTGTCTAACTGTGATCTGAAGCAATCACAGCAAAATTACAAAGCAATCTCTAGAGAATAACTTGACAGAAGCATTAGGCTCGATTCGAACAAAATGATTACAGTGTCACTTGGCAGGTCCTGAAAGGGCTCGCTCGCTGCTTTAATGGCATAAAAGCAATGGTGATGCTTTGGGCTACAGTATGTCAGCGTAGGCCATTTTAAGTAAATTAATCCCCCACTCTCTGTTTCAGATGAAAAATAAAATTAAATCTCAGTTTCATCTGTCAAAGAGGCACCGAGGAACACCTTTAACATTTTTCTCCATTACTGTTAGATTCATAATTCTCCATAAAAAAAGGCTTGGGGTAGGGGGCAGATGCTTCTTTTGGAAGCTTTTAATTTACCCAAGTCATGTGTAACTGGGTTGTTTGAATGCCATTTGGATGCATATTGTTCTGTTAAAATGGTCTATTTAGAAAGTTAATGTTCCTAATAATGCAAAAAGAAAAAAAAAAAGCACAAACAAAATAAAATACTTTCTCTACGATGTAAAAACTCTGAGGAAGTTAGAGAGTAGGGAAGAATGGGAAGGACACTAACAACACAAGAGAGGTTTCTTGATCTGTGTGCAGGAACAGACAACAAACGTGCACGCTACTTTAAGGCAGAAAATACCCATAATTTTACAAGCACCCTCATTCAAAGGCTCTCAGAGCGGGAACAAGTACAAACGAGTAGGTGGGTGGGTGACTGTAAACACTAGAGCAGATATAGAAACACGCATTTCAGAACAGAAAGGCAATTCATCACAGAGGAAAACAGCAGCAGTGGACACTTCACTCAACACCTGCAGGAAGCCAAGAGAGTATTTAAGTCAGAGTTGATGCAGACACAAAAAGGGTGACGGGCAGGAAGCTCTACTAAAGCAGGGAAGATGCAACAGTTTTACTGTACAATTGGAGTGGGTGGATTCTTTCAAGCAGGGAACTTTAGTCATCTTTGGGTTTAAATAATTAAAAAAAAAAACTATAAAATTTAAATTGATTTCCAGGAGATTTAGTTCTGTCAGTCATAAAAGCAGTGAATTTCTGTCACAAGCAAAGCTGCCAGGAGATAAGCCTGACACTGAAGAACCAAGATGCTATAAATACAACAGTATAATGAATTTATTCTGGGTTCTAAATTTAGAGAAAGCCCTTTCAATGTGAAACGATGCAAAATAAACAAAGTGTTTCATTAAGCAGAGCATTTTTTTAACTGTTCACACATTGAAAATGATGGGAAATGAGAGAACACAGAGGAAAAAAGGGAGTACAACAAAAGATGTGAATGTGTTACACACTGCGAACTGGGAATTAACTGAAGAAACTGATCTAATAAACTTGCCAGAATAAACAGAGAATTAAAAATAAACTGGTCTTGGTAAAACGCTTATTGGTGAAGCATAGGATGAAGCTGACTGTTAATTTTTAAATGTTACAGCCCCCTTCACACTGGGAACAACCTCACTATGACAGATCCAGAGGGAACATGATCCTTGCAGAGTCATGGTGAGGTCTTAAAGTGCCTACAAAGAATGAAGGACGCTCCTTAGTATGTGTGAAAGAGTGAGAATGGCAGTGGAGGGCACTTTAGAGCATGCACAAAACTTCTGCAGCCAGATCTTAGTGGTTTATCACCGAGGTACCAGCGTATCTGGATACTGGTTGGAGAGTGGGGGAGTGCAGTGCTTGAGTGTTTGACATTAGGCCCTGGTGCTCTGGTGTAAGTTGTAGCCCATAACTTGAAGCAAGACTGGCCTTGCTGGCATCATGCTAAGGCTACAACCAAACCATGACAATTGTATAGAAACAACCTAGCACAGATGTGAAATCTGTAATGCATCCTGATGTGGTCCAGTGTTTCCCCTAGATCAGCTCCCTTGGCAAGGTACTTGTCATATATATTTTTTTTTAATCGTGGGTAATAACATATGTGTTGCCCACCTGTTAGCTTAGCCCCAATTTGCTGCATGTAATTGTCGATTTTGCTAGTGTGTTTGTATTGTGCCGCGTGCTACAGTTATAGACAGGAGGGGAGGGTGGGATGTTCAGTAGACAGGGCACCCCACTTGTATATTGGTAGGGGAAAGACTGTGGTCCAAATGAGTCAGGTCAGGGTGGCCATATAGAGCCAGGTAAGGATGCAGAAGAGTCTTGGAGGTATTGAAAGTAGCAAGTAAAACCTTTTTGGCCAGTAATAAAAGTAATAGAATTATTGAATTTAAACTGAAGGTTTTCCAAATTTGCTACAATTCCTTTTCTATATATTTTTCCCTATATATTTTTATTTTTTGTGTGTGGACATTTTCAGTTGTTGTGCTCAGATGGGTTGTCCCTGTTGTTTTTTCTGTTTAGTGTTGGGTTGACAGTTGTGTTCAAGTGTTGTTGGAAACTGTAAAAGAAACAACACTATAAATCAGATGTCGTACTTGATGGATAAAAAGGGCAATAACACTTAAATCAACAAGTTACTGAATTACTAAAGTGAAGTGGTGTGATTGAACTGTGACTCTGTAGCATCTTCCACATTAATTTCAATTTAATAGGATTTATAGCATTTTAGTAAGATGTTACAATACTACATTCTAACTGAAGGCATAGCTCTTATGATCATGGTTTGCCACAGATGTAAACCTATTTTTATCACTAGAATCATCCTTAAATATACATTTACATTTCTGCAGGTGTTATCAAAATGTAAACACTTGTTCCAGCAGGAGCACTAACAAATGAAGCTGGTCTTTATCATACCCATTTCAAACAGGAAGCTTTGCTGAATGTATTCAGCTAATGCATTTTCAATGGACTGTGTCTCAACCATTGTACTTAGGTAAGCCAAGACAAATGTACTGTAACTAAAAGATTTACCAACTGCTGTTTTTGCTTTTAAATGTAACACATTTACATGAATCCAACAATTGTCTTACTTTTAAAAAATGCATTGAACTAGTGAAAAATGTATCTTCCTAAATATGCGCAAAACTGCAATGCTAAACATTAGGTTCACAAAGTCCAGTCTATAATTAAAAGTTTAAAAGTGTAAAACTCTCGCCATGCTCTCCCCTGTCACAACCTTTCAGCACCCAATCTCCCTCAAGTTTCCTCTTCTACATACAATTACATACTCCTTCGTCCACTCTTATAGGTCACTCTATGCTCCTCCCTCTTTTGGAAATAAATGTTGACTACAGACATTTCTATTCTCTTTGCAAAATCTACCATCGGTCCTTCCTGGTTTTTTTCCTAGACACCAAACCTACCCATCCATCACTTTCTCATTCCCTCCGTTTCCGTCACCAACATGTCCATTCAGGTCTGCTCTGATCACCACTCTCTCCTCCCTGGGAATACTCTCTATCACTTCATTCAGATTCTTCCAGAATTTTTCTTTCTCCTCTATGTCACATCCAAGCATAACCCCTGATACCATTTAGCATCAGACCTTCTACTTCTACCTTCAGACACATCACCCTATCTGACACTCTCTTCACCTCTACTACATTCTTTGCCCATTCCTCCTTCAGGGCCACCCCAACTCCATTTCTCTTTCTATCCACACCATGGTAAAAGTTTAAATCCTGCTCCAATGCTGCGAGCCTTGCTGCCCTTTCACTTGGTCTCTTGGACACGTAAAACATCTACCTTCCTTCTCTGCATCATGGCAGCCAGCTCTCTACCATTGCCTGTCATTGTTCCCACATTTAGAGTTGAAACCATCAGTCCTACATTCTTGAATTTCCTCTTCTCCCTCTTCTGACTCGTTTCCCTCCTTGTGGTCTTCAACTAACAGTGTCACAGTTTCTGCTGGCACCCTGTTTGTCAACAGCACCGGTGATGGTCGTTGTTAACTCGGGCCTCGACTGATCTCGTATGGTGTTGTTGCTTAGATGAACTTGCATATTAGTTTTAGTAAAAGTGTTTTACATCTGATGCCCTTCCTGACACAACCCTCATCATTTACCCGGGTTTGGGACCAGCACGAGGGATTCACTGGCTTCTGTTCCATAGTGGCTGTTTTTTTAAAGGATGTTTTGATGGACTGCTGGCAGTCACAAATTTTAAAGGTAAGACAGCTGATGACAGGTGGATGAGCTGTCAATCATAGACAAGGCTTTTAATTTGCATCTGTCATTTTGTCTGCATAGATAAAAGAAGTGATGTGTTTTTTAAGAGATCATTATTATGTTTTTTCTTACCCATTATTTTTTTCTTTATTATGGCAGTTTTCATAAATATCTCTTCAGTCGTATCACTTTGGCACTCAGATGATCCACACCAGTGTTTAAAATCTAGAACCATTTTAATCGTATGATGAATTGTGACACATGTATGTGATTAATTACAACAATCTAAAACAAGTTTTGGATTGTTTTAAATTTATTTATTATACTAATTGAGTTTAAGTGCTTTTGGTAGTTGAACATAATGAGTGGGTAATAATTAATTACAGACAGCTAGAAGTTTTACCAAACTTCTCATCACAATGCAGAATAACATAACAAGAAAAATATCTCCTTCATTTAGATTATTATTTTATTTTTTTATTTTATGTATCGTTACATTTAAAGATATGCTCATTGGAATATCCTCTATAGAAGAAGTCTGGGCTTCAGTACTCTGTAGTTAATCACAGGAGCTTCCTTCACTGATGTGCAGTGATTCAGGGCAGCTGCATTGATATCTAGGA